TTTAAAGTTTCACACACACACACACCATGTACACACCCTGGAAGCTCACGTGTGTTAATTTCCAGCTGGGAGCAGGGGAATCCAGCCTTGTGTTATCTTTTCCAGTCAGGGTAACAAGCAGCGGGGTGAGGTGTTCCCATAAAAATATACACCTCTTCCTTTCTCTCTACACACACACACACACGGAGGCACACACACCCTTTCCGAACATCCCAAACTTCCACAGGAGTTTCCTCCTCGTTCACATTCCTGTCAGTTACCTCAGCAACACACACACACCATTAAAACCCCTTACACTAACACACACAGTGAGCACAGTACATGACCCGGTGTAGGAAAACACACAAACTCTCCACACCACACACAATCCCCAGCTTGGTTTTTACAGCCCATTTAAGATATGTAAAACTCTCTGTTCTCCAAGCAAAAGATAATTGAATCTTATGGAAATGTTAATAAAAAAAGTTGCTAGTCAGACAAAAAGGAGTGCTAGAGTGAGTGTGGGACTGAGGTGAAAAGGGGCAAATGTGGTGAAACTGAGCAAAAAACAACGGTTAAAAAAAACAGAAGGTAAAAGGAGAGGAAGACCAGGCGGAAAAAGGGGAAATGATAAAAAGATACACATGTAATTGCTGGAAAACAAGAATAAAGTTTGAATAGAAAAAGAGAGAAGAGCATTGTGTGAAAGAGAGAGGGGAATGAAAGGGAGGAAAAGGGAATGAAAGGAGGAAAACTGAATGGAAAGATATAAACAAACTAGTAATGAAGAGGTGGATGAGAGGATTTGATGAAAGAAGGCAATGAAAAGTGAGAAAAAAGATGATGAAAACCAGAGTGGATTGGGTAAGATATAGAAGGTAGAAAAGGATGAATCAGAAAAGACGACAAAGACAAAAGAGGTAAAGATTGGAGCAGGGCTGAATGAAAGAGGAGATGAAGCAAAAGTGAGCAAACTTTATTGAGAAAAGGGAGTACAGAGGCTGAAAGAGAATGACTGTAAGAAATATATGGGTGAAAGAAGAGAGGAAAGGAAAATGGAAGTGGGAAGTAGAAGGAAGAAGTAGAAAGATGGAGATAGAGGTCAGAAATGACAATGGGGCACAGAAAGGAAGACAAGACAGCAAACAGAAAGGCGGCAGAGAGAAATGGGGAGGTTTAAAGAATTACAAAGATGGAATAAAACTAGAGGCAGGAATCAAACTCGTGGGAAAGAGAAGAAAAGCAGAGGGAAAAAGAAAAGAAAATTGCAGTGACTGGGGGGCTGAGAGGGAATAAAACAAGACCAAAAACTGAAACAAAAAAAAGAAGAAAACAGACTGTCAGAGAAAGGAGAGAACAGTTTTTCCTTGTTCCAAATGTTTTCTTTTGAGTCCGTCAGCGGTTTGTTCGGGGGAAAACTGTCCCGCCGAGCCAAACTCGTTTAGTGTCTGATCTGAACCCGGGGAGGACAGAATCAGAGCAGATCACAGAGGATTACAGCACCGCACAAACACTGAGGTGATTGTCTGTTTTCCTCCTCTTCTCCTCCTTTTCCCACCCCTGCTTTTGAGACATGAGGACTGAGATCCACAGCTTTCACAGAGGACACTGAACAGTACAACTGCATACACTACAATTACTGTGTTTGTTCTGAAAGATGATGCTTATTTCACTGCATTTTCAACCGTTGTTATGAAAAACATCTACTCTGTAAAGTTGTTCAGTCCATCTGTCTCTCAAACAAATTGAGCTTAACCTGGTTTCTGAGTCGCCACCCGCATCTCCAAACTGTCATAGGCTGTCAGCCAATCAGTGCTTTGTAGGTTGGATTATGAATGGGGACATCTAACATGAAAATAGCAACAGCAAAATGGCTATTGTAGCTAACTTATATGACAATTATATTATTATTATTGTAGCTTTTGTCACACCTCTTGCTGTCTCATACAGACGCACAGGGTAACTTTTAGCGTCTGTATGAGACACACAAGGGTCCCACAAAGCTTTTTAGAAGTATAAAGAGCAAAAAAGTCCACACAAGGGGAAGGGATGGGTCCAACAAACAAAGGACTTTCACCCAGGAGACACATTAAATTATTTCAAGTTAGGTTTTGTAAGATTTAACTTATCAAACCATACCAGAATAGCACACACAACATTAACCACATGTTAGAAAAGCTTTGTGGCAGCCCAGTGTGTCACATAGATATGTTAAAGGGTACCCTGTGCATCTGTATGAGACGCCAAAGGGTGTGATAAATGCATCGGTATTTGATGACCTGGGAACGACTGGTTTTATAAAACTGTTAAATCTATTTCTTCAAGCCCCGAACATTTATTAAACTTTCCCTTGAGTCTCTCTGACTGCACCAGCATATCAATTGAGCATAAGTTACCTTACTGGGGAAATATCGCCATCTATAGGTTGTTGTCTTGTGTGTGTCGTGTTTTATTCAGTCGTGTCACCTCAGTGAACAAGCTAGCTAGCCAACTATTTTATGGACGATGGATATAAAGTTTTTCATGAGGAGCCTTCTTTTAGGGGGCAGGAGTGAAAATGAGTCATCTATCTATTCTATCTCGACTGGCTTGAAAAATAGCGCATACAGTTGCCCTAAATGTGAAAACAATTTCCCCAGTGGAGCATGCCCCCCTAAGTTTGGGATAAGCCCTGAATGTTTGCAACATCTAGCTCAGCCTTTGCCACACCTATCTCAAAGAATGGGCTAAAGATACGTTTCATAACGTAAACCTGGGAAACTCAACTGGTGGCCCACTCACTATTTCTGTACCACAATGAAAATAACTAGATTCACAATCCAGTAAATGTTCAATCTTGGTTGTTTGCAAAGTTGCATTTTAGCTTGCACACACTAAAAGAGTTCTAATTATTCTCTTCATACTGTGATTGGAGCAGTTCATGTTTATAAATCATTCCAACATTAAAGTGTTTGCAGGATGGAAGAGGTTCCAGCCATGTTTAATATAAACTCTTTCAAATATAACAAAAGCATTTACAGTTGCAGCCATTAAATGTAGTAATATTTCTGATTTATCTGTCATATAGGCTTAGCGTCAATTCTTGTACCAAGTTAACAAATAAAGTTAATCAAAAAATAAAGAATTTCAAAGAAAGATGACTAATGCGCTTTTCATCATTTAATTTGATAAACATTATTAATGGTTTTTTTTTTTTATTAACTGGCCTCTTCCAAAAGTATCCCACAGGCAAAGTATCCCTGATGAAAAAAAATTCCAAATCATGATATAATGACAGAATCAAATTAAAGGTGGTTAAACAACAAATGTTCATATCATTTCTGCCACAAAATAGTCGACATTACTAGCCAACTAAACACGATGATTTTTTGGTTCTCATCAGATAAAATTGTATGAGATGTTTCTATTGTGTTGGTCGGCTCTCAGATGTGAATGTGTGGAACTCACTGAACATAAAACTTTATTTGGATCCAAATTGTAAGCAAAATGGGGATATTTTTTGGTTAATTTATCCAAACTTGTTGAGACACACAAACCAAAGTGTAACCTTAGAAGTGTTTATTTTGTAACATTATTTAAAAAAAACCAGAACAGATCCATTTACAGCCAACACACATTTTTCAAATATAAACACAAACAAAACCATCTACGACAGAAAATATAATTGTCCCCATCAGACAGATTTAGAAGCACCACAGTGACACTTCTGGGAAAATCCTGTTTTTAATTTGTCGTTATATGACTGCTGAGAAAATGCCCTTTGTTTTAATCCCAAAATCTTGGGTGTTTCGTTTTTTTTTCTTAGGATAATTATTACCAAAAGCCCCAGAGTTATTGCACGACTCAAAAAAAAAAACGCCTGTCTCTCTGATGTTCTTTGTGTGTCACAGTAAATTAAAATGGAAACAAGACTCTGTTTGGTGTCAACAGAAAAGAATGTCTAATGCAGATGTAGAAGTATTTTTTTAATACTTTGCTTGAACTGCTGCTTCTCTGTGGCTCCATCCTCTAGAGGAAATGTTAGGAAAAATCTACTGTTTCTCTGTTTTCAACCAATGACGGCCACAAGGAACGGTGTGGTAAATATAACTGGTTTCACTGTACAAGATGCTCGATTTTGTTCTACTGTTTCATGTCCAAAAAAAGTATTGTCTGTAAGACTAACACGGAACAGATGCAGGATAAATCCTTGAAGAGAGACTTCTGTTTTTTGCTCCCACTGTACATAAAATGTTACATTATAAATGCTACATAAACACATACAGAGAGACCTCTACAGTGGCTACAACTG